GCGCGAGGAGACCGCTGGGCGCGAGGGCTCAAGCAGGGTGGACAACGGGGAAGCACGCGCGGGGACGGGCGGCGCAACCTTAGTCCTCTAGGACTAAGGCAAGGCACGCGGGTCCCAAGGGCGGCGAGTAGGCGGTTGGGATGTTTGACTTGGAGTGCAAGTCAAGGCTCAAGATCCCTTAGTTATTTAGTTTCCTTATTCCATTATGATTTCTAGATTGTTTAGGATACTTAATATTTTATTGCTTTATTAGAGTTATAGCTAGATTAGGAATAGATCTATTTCATGCCTATATAAAGGCCCTTCCTCTTGTTATTTTTTCATAATTCAGAAATTAATAGAAAAACCCAAACTTTTGTTCAAACACTTTGCTTTAGATTTCTTCTTGAATTCTTTTGCAATTTTATCGTTTCGAAGGGGCGCGGTTGTGTGAACATATGAGGCACCTATCGGCGATTCAAGGCACTAGTTTGTGGCTTGTCGGCAATCGGGACACGCGATCTTCATCACCGCGGCGCGGAGGGGAGCATGGGCTCGGTGCGGCAGAGCAACGCGGCGCGTAGGGTCTTGAGTGTCGCGGCGTGGCATGGCAGTGCGGCGTAGAGGTCTGCTTGTGTTGTGCTACCTGAAGGGGGATGGCGGGCTCCATGTGAAGGGTCGCAGCATAGAGACGAAGCAGTTCTGTAGCGCGGAATGCTGGCGCGGAGTGGAGTGCTGCTTCGCCGCGGCGCGGAGGAGTGTAACGCACGTGATGGTGTCCTGGGCGTAGGCTCTATCCAGGCGAGGCGCTGGGCGCGGCGTATAGGAGTGTGCAGTGTCGCGGCGCGCGGCCTGGCGCCTGGGAGACTCTGTCCGGGTCGTGGCGCACGCGCGGCGTGGCACGCGCGTGAGGCCTGGGTGAGCTGCCGGTTGATTTGCACGACTTTATGTCTCAGGCTCGTTTGAACTCGTTCGAACTCAGAATTGAGTTTTGTTTTCTCATGTTCGTCGCCGACGGACTCTTCTATTTTATTATGCTTGCACGACCAATTTTCGCTAGAAATCCGGTCCTCCCGAAGCTTTCGATCTGCACACCATAAACGAAGAAAAATCAGAAAAACACACGAAAAACACATAGAAGACCAAAACAGAACAAAACACACAATAAACTACAAGAATGAATAAAAACCGACGAAAAGACCTAAAATAGGGGAAAAAGAGAGACAAAACAATAAGGAAAAACGCAAAAAAATGGGACGAACACCCACCACCCTTACAACAACCCACTTACCAGCTCCCGTCAAATCCTCCTCCCCATTGCACTGCAGCAAGCTCCTACCGGCCGACGACAACCTCCTCTGCTACCCTGCCGGTGGCCGACACTCCGACTAGGTCGCCGACCGACAGCCCCATCTTCGGCACCAGCGCCGGACCTCAGCCGCCTTCCGGTGGCCATGTTTCATTGGCTGGAATTCTAGGGCCCTTGCCGACAGCACCTTCGGGCCCAGTTTTTCTGACCTCCAGCACCGGCACATCTTTGCCACCCACCAGAGTTCCTTCGACCGGTCGGCCACCGACGGCAGATCTCCGGGTCCTCCCTCGATCCTCGGACCCCTTCAGACTCTTTCCTCGGCTCCTCCGGGCATAGTTTCCAGCGGTCCCTGCTTTTTTCGGGACATGATCACCGGCAAATCAGCTAGTGCGACAGAGCGTCAGGTTCTCCTTTGACAATGATCGAGACAACCTTCGTGGGTCCATTTTCTGCTTCGAGGAGGGACGACAGAAGTTAAGTCTCCCTGTTCATGATGTTTACTTTCTCGTTGAGCCGTATGGTAAGACCTTGATTTTTATGTTTTCCCATACCCTCCCCCTCCTCCAGGATTTATCTGCTGGGCTAAGAAAATTAGGTTTTAAGGGTAGTGCCACTCATGAGTATTTTCACGTTGGATCGACAACCCTATTGAGGTTGATGCAGCGACGGCCACTCAATTGAGGAAATCCGTTGCACGTGTGTCTGTCGAGATAGATCTCCGAAGCGAGCTCGTCCATGAGATTGATCTCGAATAGACAGGGAAGACCACCATCCAGAAAGTGGTCTATGAGAGAGTTCCACCATACCGCTATTTGTGTCATCACGTGGATCACGTCAGGGCTGACTGCTACACCACTGGAAACAAGCCCCATCCAGCGCTCCCGCCATGCAGTCGTGCGGCCAGATCGGGTCCCTCAAATCTTTAGAGGGTCTCTAAGAGAAAGGGTAAGGCCCACGCCCAGTCACCTGCGTCTCCAAAAAGGACCAAGGACAAGGGTAAAGCCATTGTGGAGACTGCCGCACAGCTTGAAAAAGCTGTTTTGGTGGATAAGTCCAAGTCTACAGGATTTTTTCCTTCCCAAACCCTTCAACAGACCTTTAAGGCCAAACATTCGTATTTTGTTGCTCTTTCTCCCGAGATTGAGGCTCAGCCTTCCTCCTCCAATAGCCACCCTCTTGACGATGATGACCTTTTAGATGACGAGGTGAATCAACTTTGTTCTTTTGTGAGTGTTGAGTCCATCCCTTCTCACGACGACTGTTCCCGTGAGATAGCCCCCTTTATTGAGCACGTTTTTTCTGAGATGAGACCTCAGGGACCGCTACCCACTGCTATCACTGAGCCTCAGGACAAGACTGAGTTGGCTCAGACTATTACTGCAGAGAGTGAGCTTTTGGTTGTGTGTACAACCAGTGCCGATACCCAAACCTATACTGAGGATATGAGTAACCCACTATTCGCCTCCTCTACCCCTGATCCACCTGAGGGGATTTGCGCTCTTAATCGGGCACATCATGTTGATGCGTCTACAGAGCAGGAGGACGAGCAGAAGGGACAGATTCCAGAGAGCCCCGTGTTGGGTTCGCCTGTACTGTACGAGCTATATGCAGCGGAATTTAAAATTTTTCAAAACAAGTATTTAACCATTAAATACTTTACTCGTGCATACATATGGCGAATTAACAGATCGTCATCTTTAATAACATGTAATAATACAAATTTTGATTTGTTGTAAGTAAATTAAATTTACCTAAGTTCTTGAACTCCTTCAATTTGACGATGAATGAGGGAATCGATTCCCGGTTTGATAACAGCAACACTTTGTGTTTACTCGTTTAGGAATCCATGTGTCTTCCCTCTAAACGTATCCACCTTTTGAAGTTCGGTTCCGAACTAGTTTCTTCGCTAGTAGAAACTAATCGGTTTTATCAATAAGTAAAAGAATATTTATTTATGAGGAAATTTTCACAAGAACTCTTTCTTGTTTGAAGATTTTGAAGAACACTTCTTCTTTTCTCTCTTTTCAACTATTTGAAAAACTTAAGATCAAATCTTATCTCAAGACTAAGTTCAAAACTCCTTTTTAAACTTAGCTCAAATATCTATATATTTATGATAAGATTTACAAGAACTCTTTCTTGTATTTTGAAAAATTATTCAACACTTGAATTTTTCTTCTTAAGAACTTAGAACATTTCTTAGCTCTTCTCTTTTTCAACTCTTTGAAAAAACTTAGGAAGAATTCATTATCTATGAACATCAAATATGTCCATATTTATACTAAACATTTTAGTATAAAATAATAATATTGGGTAGAATATTTTTATAAAATATCAAAAAGTCTTCAAGAATATTTTCATAAAATATTAAGTCTTGAACAAGACTATTCCCCACCCAATATTCAATTAATAAGAATAAGATTAATTATGTTAAGTAGTTAGCATCTCTTAACCACCATAATTAATTATTCTTATTAATATTTAATCTTTAATCATATTAAAGATATATAATAAAATAATAATTCTTGAAAGCATCTTTCAAGATTTTATTATTTTAATCTTTTCTTCTATTTCCTCATTTAATAATCTTGGATTTGAAATTTAAAATCTAATTTTAAATTCCAACAATTAATTAGTAATTACATTAATTACTAAATTAATATCTAAAATTCAATTAATCAATCCAATTGATTAATTTAATATATTCCTTTATTGACATCTAATCAAATTAGATTTTATCAATTAATTCTAACTCTTTAGAATTACTATTTGAATTTAACCTTCATTCAAATTTAGGTGTGACCTTTTAGGTTCACAATTAATACTAGTAGTGGGTTTACAACTCTTTGTAATTTGAGTTAATCAAATTACCTCTTATTCTTGAATTAACTCTTTAATTCAAGAACCCACATATCATGGGAACATCTAGCAAGTAGCATGAATCTAGTATTAAGTGAATAGCGAGTAAACCTATTTCAATTACAAGTCCATACATGTAAAATCCTTTCGACATCCAATTTCCCGATTAAATCTTGGGTATGATTTTAGTCGAAACCCAAATTGATTTAATAACTATGATTCAATTTCATGTTTAGTAATTCATGTATGAATCTCTATTCATCCCGCCTTGGCCAAGGACTTTGAATTTACTAACTATGAAATACATAGAAAATTCTCGTATCATCATACGTGTCGAATCCTTTGTTGGCCACTAACAAACTTCCATACATATTAACATAATACCCAAAATATCCCTTTATACGATTGTGCTAGCAACCAAAAGGATAAATCAAAGTAAAACGTAATATGCACAAAGTTACCATTGTGCCTCAAGTCTAAGGATTAGTCATGTACTATTGTAACATGAAAATTCTTATTCGACAGAATAATTCTTCATTAAGAATTTTCATACAGTCATGTTCAGTGAACTTGTTCTCTAACAAGCACCCACATATATGTACTTGCGTCCCACGCTAATGTTGATGGAATGCAACATTCTTGTCAAACAAGCATACATACTATGTACAAGTCTTTTATGGATTATTCGATATCCCTTTTCGAAACATCCATCGACTTGGAACTTTATTTAAGATCACAGCTTTCAAGGTATGTTCCATGATCACCATCTATATGCGCAACCATACCTTATAGCTATATGTGATCTAGGGATTTTATCTTAAGTGCAAATATAAGATAAATGCTTACTCTTAAGATAAAGTAATACTTTTTAATTAATATAATTCCAATAGATTGTATTTACAAGTAGAATACGTCCAATCTGATTGGAACGCCGGGTATCCTACTCTAACAATCTCCCACTTGCCCTAGTTCCAATCACGCATGTATCTTAGACCTATCTTCTCAAGATGTCATTAAATACTTTCTGTGATAAAGGCTTAGTTAAGAGGTCTGCTATATTTTCTGCTGAGTCGACTCGCTCCATTACGACGTCGCCTCTACCAATGATTTCTCTAATCAAATGGTATCGTGTCATAATGTGTTTGGATCTTTGATGAGATCTTGGCTCATTTGCTTGCGCAATAGCCCCATTGTTATCACAATAAATCATTATTGGATCAACAACAGATGGTACTACACCTAACCCTTGGATGAAGTTCCTTATCCAAACAGCTTATTTTTCAGCATCAGATGCAACAATATATTCAGCCTCTGTCATAGAGTCAGCAATCGTTTCTTGTTTGAAACTTTTTCCAACTGACTGCTGCTCCATTCAGAGTGAATAAGTATCCAGACATGGATTTATAGTCGTCTTTATCGGACTGAAAACCAGAATCAGTAAAGCCTTCTAGTTTCAATTCTCCATTGCCGTATACCATAAAGATATCCTTAGTCCTTCGTAAGTACTTAAGAATCATCTTAACGGCTTTCCAGTGTTCTTCACCTGGATTAGACTGATATCTGCTCATTGCACTAAGTGCATGAGCC